GCCAAGGAGCATGCTGAAGAGATTAAGGACCTTTATTTTGCTTTGCATCAAATGTGATGACTCTTCAGATTTCATTTGATAGGTTGACGTCACTTTATAGAAGTACATGTGTATTGTACCAAAATTCGCTAGGATAAACAAGCTTCGCGCAAGAGGATGACACTAAGGAGGATGACGCCCCATGACTTTTTATCATAAGCAGGCCACAGTACTGCAACATACCAGATAAAACTGGCTGCTTCTGAGCCAATGTCATGAAACGACACTCCTGAAGTGCACGACTAGGTGTGATCTCATCGACTCGAAACCAAAAATGAGTGGGCGTGCATTCACACCGAACGCTATTAAGCCCGTCACTAGACCGTCGTACGCGTGGGTGACCCCACAGATTGCTTCTGACAATCAAGTAAAATATGCCTTACAAATAAGGACTACTCTGTAGAAAAGAAAAAAACCACTGAGTTGCCAACAATCGGCATTAATCGAATGGTAGTCAACGACTACAGATCTAATACCCCAGAAAGTCGAGACTCAGAGTATACTCTCTCATAAGTCAATCTGTAAACTATTAGTCCACATATATGTCAAACTCAGAGAGCGAAGATGGACGATTCAATCAAGGTTGCCAAGCGACAAATGTTTCTCGCTGGTGGTATTTCAATATCCATTGTCTGTATCCGATAAATAAAAATGCCGGTAATAAGAGGATGCTATTTTGTATAGTAATACCATGATACAAATCAAATTCCAGTTAATGTACGTTCAAGAGAGAAGTAAGGCGTACAATTTATCATGTAGAACATCACAGTGAAGTAAAACAACCTTGGTTTAGCTTTGCCGAAGTCGAGCTAGGCGGTCAGATAAGTCCTGCTCCTCCGCAGGTACTGTTGCACTGGGAGCTCCAATCGTAGAAGTAACCCCACTTGGAAGATTCAAGTCCAGTTCGATTCCAGCTTCATCGGCTGTCTCTCGCATTAGACTATCAACTTCGTTCGAGGGAGCATTCAAGGAAGTAGTGTTACTCATAGTACCTTCCATTACCTATAAGAGCAGTTAAACAAGAAACGTAGCTGCACAAACCTGAGACTGCACATCAAGAGATTCAAATTCCTTCTCAAACTGATCCATCAAGTTCGAGACCTTCTCTAAATTCATCGACTTCATAGCTGCACTCATGCCACTCACAACATTCCGCATTGAAGCGGTTACAGATTGCGTAGTCACCGCTGTTTGTACTCTTGCTGCTACTGCATCGATTCTTGAGGACATTCGCATATAATTAAGAGCTTCGTTCTTTTTTCTAATAGCATTTTCTGCATAGACACGGGAACAATCCATGTTGCCAGCTTGAATTGATTTCTTGAGTTGTGCCTTTGCCGCCTTTTCCTCTTTTTCACATTTTTTCGAAAAATTAAGAAGTTGCTTTGATGTAAATTTCAGGTCGAACAATTGGTCCTCTAGAGTAGGCTTTTTGAACCAGGACATCATCGTCAGGACTGGTAGCCGATTAGAAACAAAACGCTTGCGGCGTCACTAGAAAATTAAAACTATAAAGAAAAGTTAAGATTAACACGATCAAATGATAAAATTATGAGTTTAACTTACCTTAAACAATCAACTTCGTGTTCGTTTAGAAAATTTCCCAATAAAATAATACTGTCTATTTTTTGCCAAATGTATTTAATGTTTCTTTATAAACGAAAATGGTTTCGGGTTCTACGGAGACTGGTATAATGTCATAGTAGCATGTCGGAGAATAACTTTTTGGGCAATAATAAATTTACATTGCCTTAATGTCCTGACTGCACGCTACGAAATAATTTTAATTTCCGATAACATCAGTACTAGCCTTATCAAATGCAACTCAATAGCATTCAGGTAGTGTCACACCTCCTACTCTTTCTTATTCTTTCGCGTAATTTTCTGGACTTGGCCAACGAAGCAAATCTAAAGTAATATCCCGAGACAAGAACAAATAATGTACACAAATTGTCATCGTTCATAAACACTATCGGGTCACCCAAGTGCAGCACCGCGTTTGCTTCTAAGAATCCCCTTTATTTGTTCCGTAGCACTACGAGATTTCCTATTTATTAGTCTAAGGCTTGAGGCAGAAAGTGTGGAATTAGAGCTCTAGCTTGACTCGAAGGCAATCCTCCAAACGGAGGAAAGCTGATCACCATCCTGACAGGCAGTCGG